GTGGGGAGTGGGAAGGTAGTGGGAAGAGAGACGATGGGGGTGGGAGGAATGATGTCAGGAGGGCGCAGGTGGCTGATCGGGATGGTGAGCGCGTGTGGAGAGCAGGGGAGGAAAGAGTCGGGGAGCAAGGAGCACAAGGGGTGTGACAGGGGGGTATGTTGGGGGGAACAGCGATTGGGCGCGATCCTGACGATTAGGGAGGGAGGGGAATGGGGCTCGAAACGGGTGCGAAGAAGAAGAAGCAGCGAAGAATTAGAAGAAGAAGAAGAAGAAGAAGAAGAAGAAGAAGTGACGAAGAAGAAGAATAAGAAGAAGAAGCGACGACGACGACGAAGAAGAAGAAGAAGAAGCGACGAAGAAAAAGAGGAAGAAAAAGACGACGAAAAAGAAGAAGTGAAGAAGAAGATATCTCTCTCTCTCTCGACAACGAAGAAGAAGAAGAAGTGGCGATGAAAAAGAAGAATAAGAAGAAGAACAAGAAGAAGTGAAGAAGAGGAGGAAGAAGAAGAAGAAGTGACGATGAAATAGAAAAAGAAGAAGAAGAAGAAGAAGTGAAGAAGAGGAGGAAGAAGAAGCGACAACAAAGAAGAAGAAGAAGAAGAAGTGACGATGAAAGAGAAGAAGAAGAGGAAGTGAAGAAGAAGAGGACGACGAAGCAGCGACAACGAAGAAGAAGAAGAAGAAGTGACGATGAAAAAGAAAAAGAAGTGACGATGAAAAAGAAGAAGAAAAAGACGAAGAAGAAGAAGAAGAAGAAGAAGAAGAAGAAGATATCTCTCTCTTCTGTCTCTCTCTCTCTCTCTCTCTCTCCTCCCCCCCCCCCCCCAAAGTCCCTTACCTTGTCGATGGCGGGGAACCGCGATGGGGGGCATTGGCGGGCAACGGCAGAGTCACACGCGGTGGCAGGCGGCGGCGGGCGTTGGCAGGTGCTGGCGGCGTCGAAGTTCCGCGTCGAAGTCCGGCGGAGCAACACAACTGCAGGGCAGGGAACAGGGGCACCCATCTTCCCCCGAGCACAACGCACCCTCATTTTGGCTGTATCTGCCCGGAAATATAACTCGTATACATTAATTTTTAGGGTGCGTTATGTTCGGGGGAAGACGGTAGGGGGTACACCGTGAGAATGGGGGAGGGAACGGGGGCCGGTTGTTCCCGCCCTCACCGATTTGAAAGCGCGGCCATCTGGGCCGTCCATTTGTGAGATCGACGATCCAGATCGGACCCGATTTCGAATCAGTGAAATCGTGCCTGCCGGCCCCCTTTTTTTTTCGTGGTCTGCATAGTCTTCCATCAGGGTGAAGAGGCCCCCAGCGCCGAAAAAAAAAAATAATAATAACCTACACTGATGTGCTGGGGGGGGCCGGTGGCCAACCAGGCGTGACAACCGGCCAGGCGGCCCGGCCCCTCCCCCGGGCGACGACCAGGCCGCCGGGCGGCCCGGGGACCAGCCTAGAGGTTAGACACATTTGTCTGGTTCAGTACCAAGTGCCCACACACAACTCTGCCGCCGAAGCAAAACACTTGCACATATACATACATAAATATATTTATTTGATAATCCATAAAAGGGTGGAGGGCAAAAGGCAACTTAGGACTCCACCAGCAAGAAAGCACCGACCCCATCGCGTCACAAAACCACAAACTCGATTAAACAAAAGGCTCCACTAGGAAAAAACCACCAACCACACATGCCAAGGGTCTATTAAAAAAAATATTGAGCCCTCTGCAACGGCCTACGATGCACAACAAATCAACAATACACCGCAGGACCAGTACGCAACACCAAGAGTGCCATGAACCTCCCCCTGCCACGCAACCTGCAGATGATATCTTAGTGCTACAGCAAGGCCACTCCAAGTACTACGCCAAAGATGATATCCTAGTGCTACAGCAAGGCCACTCCAAGTACTACGCCAAATTCCACAAGATCTCCATACCAGGAGCGCTACTGCTTAAAACACCCTAAAAGCTACCCCATTCTCCCATGTGCTACGAAAGAGAAGCCCGCGGAAATGACACCCACAGGAAACACTCTCTGAGCCTCCTCACGAAGATATGGTGGCCACCCACACTCATTACTTCATTGACAAGACAGCCCATGCTGCAACACAGGGCAAAGGATTAGGCGATGTATCAGAAACCAAACCAGCAAAACACATCAATCCACAGAGAAGAGTAGCTCCCCAGTACAAGCCCGATCCTAACCGCTCAAATCTGCCAGGACAGAGAGCTCTTTTTCTGTGTGACAGAGAGAGAGAGAGAGAGAGGGAGGGAGAGAGAGAGATAGAGAGAGATGGGGGAACAGGGGACGGGAAAGGAAAAAAGCATAACAATGGAGACTTTAGAGTGGGAACTAAATAGGCCAGTGACATTGAGAGGATCAGGCCAGTGGCACCAATTCCCTGGTGGGGGAGTGAGGGGTCTAAGGGGGCATAGCAGGCCCGCCTCTCTGTGGCCGGGAATGAGTGTGAGAGGGTGCCTAACAGCGAGGATAGGCCATGAGTTTGCCACCCCCCCGACCCTTCCGCAGGCAGATCTGGCCTAGGCCAGCTTCGATACCTCCCCGACAAACTCAGACTATCCTAACTTCTTGTCTTTGTTATGCTTGCCGGTCATAAGCAACCGGACTACTGCCCTGAATAGATGGGGCACTTGTTGTGTTACAAAAAACAAAGAAGGAAAAACAGGAAAAACAAAATTACAATTTTCAATTTCCCAATCTCCGCAATTACGTGTACCTCCATTTTCCAATGAACCGAGCCTAGAGTGTAGCTGGGTTCATTTCCCAAAAAATGACACCATCTGAAACCCACACCATGTCCTGACAATCTCTGACACAATCTCGGTGCCAGAAACATATCGATTTGCTTTTGTTTTTCATTCGAATCTCTTGTTCAAATATTTCTTCATTTTTCAATGCACCCTTCCAAAAAACATATGATACCCCCACCCACACACCAGAGAAAGTCTGACACATCCTTATCAAAGTCTGACACATTGTCATCGTGGTTTTCTATGCCAGACATTCGCAGAAGCTCTATATGCTCACTGACAGGTTTTCAACCAGCCAGTCTATCCACTTGTCCACCAACCGCACAACCAAATGTCGACAAAAGAAAGCGCTTCAGGACAGATATCGACTGTTCATATCCACAATCACATGAATCTCATTGGGCAGGACGGCATGTGTCAGAGCCCGCGGTTGATAAAGTTCAATAAGATAGAGAAGAAGAAAGAAAAATGAGGTAAAGGTGCAGTAACCCTGTTCAGAAGTAGCCTGGGGCCCAGAACTCAGCCCCAGGCAACGCAGACCTGAGTTGGTCTGCTCTGGGCTGTGTGACCAAGACACGCCCAGGCCTGAGTCTGTCACGTTTGGCTGTGCGCCCGAATGCTGCACACAGGAAATTCAAGGGTCAAAGTCAACTGTAGAGTCAAAGGTACCGCACCCAGGCCCTTGGTTGGATACACTAACTTGTTGTGCGCACGTACCCAGACAAGCATCCAGGCCGGAGGGAATTCGGTTTCAGACCAATCTGGGCCTTAGTTTGTATCAAAATCTGGACGGCTGAGGGTGGTAGCATCCGGGGCCCAGACCCCGAGTCAACGCTACATAAGCGCTGACTTTCCTGGCTTTGATTCATTCTGTCTTGCGTCGATGCTGTCTTCACGCGTTGACGATGACTCTGGCTCGACGCTGCTAAACTGGCTGAGCGCTGGCTCTGCGCTGGCATTGTGTCTACGGCGACGCGCTGCTCGTCCGGCATGGTGGCTGGCTTGCACCTGTCTTCTTGGCATGCTGACGTGGCAGCTGCCATGCGCTGTCGCTGACGTGGCTGCTGCGACGTGAACTACTGCTTGACGACGCGAAACTATGTGACTTGTGTTGCTGTTCTGATTATAGTCATTCAGGAGGCGATCGAGACTGTGGAGAGATCGTGGATACTTACCTGGTTGTCTTCATGTCGACATTGCTCCATCGCTGATGAGGGACTGACTAGAAGTGCCACATGGCAGATTGAGGTTACTTCAGATACTGGTTCAGATTATTGATTATTGAGGTGGTGATCGCGGAGGGAGCCCGAAGAAGCAGTGGGCATTGTTCCTATCTTCCCCAGTCTTTCATCCCTCTCATCTCTCTCTCGTCTGTGTATGTCTTCTCTTCTCTTGGGTATCTGGACACGAATACGATTATTGATAATCATCAGCAGGTTGACAATTTGGACTTGCATTGTTGACAACTCTCTTCACGATCTGGGTTCATTGCAAAGGTATAAATTTTACCATAAAACATGCACAATTCGGACTTCTTTCTCTCATACTGGCCCCGAAAATAGATCTCATATTTTTATTTATTGAGTGCTAAACAAACAAACTAACCATTCAGCCAGGTTCAATGCAGTCATGGCAAGTTGACTAACAGTGCAACCCAAAACTACATTCACCCAGCAGCAAGGCGTGTTTGGAGGACAAAGTAGAAAGAACCTGAAAACCATGGAGCACCACACCAACAGGAGAGAATGCATAACAATTGCCAGACGTACACGAGATCTGTTAAACTCCTCATCTTGGAGATTGAGTTCTTCAAACTTGTCATGCACCCAGGGAGAGTCATCCTTGGCCTCCCACAGCTTTCTACCACCAAGGTTACGCCTGCTATGATAGGGAAATAAACCATAGCAAATACATCAATATAAAACAATGTATCAGTTTCTCCTAAATGCAGCCCCAAAAGAAATATTGAAAACACATGTTCAGGTGCCGAAGCAGTTGATTCTCGTTATTGGAGATTCAAGCACTTTGTCAGAAGATATCTCGATACTCAACAACACAATCCTGATAATACTATCTCTTTGCTCATTGAGTCGGCTGCCCATGCACTCTGTAGGCACAGATGTCTATGGTCTGCGCATTCCCTCCATACAGGGTGTAGAAACAACAAAAGCTCAATATACTGTTCAATGCTGAGTGGGGATCCGGGGCGCCCGGGTGACCGGCAGGGGCCCGGGGGAGGTCCCGGGCGGCCTGGCCGGGCAGGGCACCCGGTTGGGGGCCGGGCCCCCCCAGTGCACTCACCTGTCGGGGGATTTCGGACCCCCTTTGTGTGTGTGTGTGTGTGTGTGTGTGTGTGTGTGTGTGTGTGTGTGAGAGAGAGAGAGAGAGAGAGAGATGTTCGAATCGTACTTGTGGAGCATCTCATGCGCGGGGGTGCCGCACACGCATGCACGCGCGCACAAGTGACGCGGCGCATTAAAAAGGTAGAAAAATAAAAACGTCCTAGTTGTGTCCAGCCTCTTTTCGGAAGGATCCCTACAGCATATTGGCTAGGACCCGACGTCATGCAGAGATACACTTCAAACTTGTACTCGGGGAGAGAATATATAGTCTGGATTCGAATTCAGGTCTGTGCACCTCGGTTATGGGTCACTATTTCTCTGTTTTCTCGCTTTTCTTTTCCTAGGAATATGTGCAGTGGCCCTAAGGGCCTCTACTCACCAAATGCACAAAAGACAACATATGGAGGCGTATTATTCCACGTTCTGCAGAAGATTCATTCTAATTTTGCACATTTCGCGAGTAGTGCAGCCAAGCCCTAAGAGTCATGTGCAGAGACCAACAAGGCCTAGCTACGTGAGCAACCCATAACTGCTGAAACACAGACCTGAATCTTGAGTATATATTCGGCCAGCTCGTGCTCTACTTCATATTCACTGCCTACCTCGATTTTGGTGGGGGGGTCTGCGCTACATGCCTGCAAGGACCCTTCAGATAGTCTGAGCCGTGTTAAGGGTATCCGTTCTCTCTCTCTCTCTCTCTCTCTCTCTCTCTCTCTCTCTCTCTCTCTCTCTCTCTCTCTCTCTCTCGCTCCCCCTTGTATACACACACACCCCTTCAAAAAAAAAAAAAAGGTGCATCTGTGCCACATCACAGACACCCCTGGATTCGAATTCAGGTCTGTGCATCTCTGTTATGGGTCACTATTTCTCTGTTTTCTCGCTTTTCTTTTCTTTTCTCGTTTTTCTTTTCTTAGGAATGCGTGCAGTGGCCCTAAGGGCCTCTACTCACCAAATGCACGAAAGACAAAACATATGGTGGCGTATTATTCCACGTTCTGCAGAAGATTCATTCTAATTTTGCACATTTGGTGAGTAGTGCAGCCAAGGCCTAAGAGTCACGTGCAGAGACCAACAGGGCCTAGCTACGTGAGCAACCCATAACTGCTGAAACACAGACCTGAATTCGAATCTCGAGTATATATTCGGCCAGCTCGTGCTCTACTTCATAGTCACTGCCTGCCTCGATTTTGGTGGGGGGGTCTGCGCTCCATGACTGCGAGGACCCTTCAGATACCCTGCATGTGCCGTCTGAGCCATGTTAAGGGGATCCTCTCTCTCTCTCTCTCTCTCGGCCCCCCTTGTATTGCAATCAGACTCGTTTTCAAACACACTTTTCACACATGTAAACAGTAACGCAGCACACTGGCGACATGCGCCCACTCAAAACTCAGAGATATGGTTTTCAGATACGAGTTCACTCCCAATTGGCTATGGCGACCTCAGCGCACAAACATCTCACTGTTCACATACACTGGATCACCCTGGATATCCCACACGCATCACTCTAACACCCGAGCACACACACACACTCACTACTAACTATAGCTATGGCAGCTATGGCTGCCTCTAACCTATCGCTATGCTAAC